TCACAGAGCAGACAAAATGAGTTGAAGAAGGCCTCTTCCACAACACTATGTTACCAGGTTTATTTCTGTTACGTTGTGTTACCTCCTTCAGTGAAATGATTTGATATAATAGGTACTGAAAACAGAGTTTTTAAATCAATAAAGAATAAATAAATATACACAGAGCCTTAAAAGTCATCACTTGCTTTTTCCCACACTATCTCCAAATACCTGTTGCAGGTTTTTCCAATGAAACCTTACATTAATATTTGTCTAGAATGAAGATGGAGGAACAGGGAAAACATACAGACCCTCTTTTCTTTTGCTCTTTCTCTCCTGGGAAACCCTAGCACTCAGTACCTGCTGTGCTGACAATGTGTGTCATAAAATTCTGTACTCAGAATTCAGAATGCAGTCAAGTAAGGTCTGTCTTTTATATGCTACATGACTCTTAACCACTGTGCTTCTGTAAATCATAGTGTATGTGCCCAAGATTTGGGGGGGCAGTTACATGATAGTGTTGACAAATACTTGGTTGCAGTTGATTAAATTCCTACATTTTCTAGTCCTGGATTCCTTTTAAGCCTGACTCACTATCAGATACCATCTGCATTCTGCACACAGGCGTTGACTTCTTGAACACACATCTAAGCTTTTTATATTGGCCCTTATATTAAATTGTGTCCCACTGGCTTGGCCTCCTCTTAGGTTTTCTTCATATTTTAAATTCTACTTCAAACATGATAATTATTCTTCAAAGGTGTAAGTCACTGCATTTGTATTTGTTCAACAAATATTAGCTGATTGCTTTCTGTGCACAATAATCATCCCAAGCAGTGGAATCACAGAGATGAAGACAAAACTGATTTTTATTTAATCAACAGAATCAGTAAATTTTTGACTCCTCAACATTCAAGCCTTATGGTCTAAGTCCAGCCCACATATCCTGTTGCTCTGTCCACAATGGACTTTTCAGTATTTACTTTATTTGCCGAGTACTCTCGTACCTGTGTGTCTCAGTGTGAGGTCTTCCTTCTGTGTCATACCCCATGCTTCTTCTTTAAGCAAAAATGTTATTCACCACTTCAAGTCTTAGCTTTAATGACAACTCAGACCACGGGTGATGAATTTCAAACAATCTTAGGACCCCATCCTCCCTGTTACCATCCAAGAAAACCTGATGACAGTGCAAAGCCAGCGTGTTTCACACGTCCTGCTCACCACCCGTGTACACATTCCTTCAGTCATTTTCTCTTCCTTGAGTTCATATCTCCATACTGTTCTGTAATTTTTTGACCTGAACAACATTTATAGAGTCTTTGTCTCTCTTAAAACTGTGTTCTCCAAAACAAACTCTCCAATTTCATGAAAAATAAATAATTCATTCTTAACAACTTTACTGACAATTTACTCTCTATCCTTTCCTCAATTTAAACCTATTCTCCTATAAAGAACTAACAAGTACCTTCTATTAATTTCTTATATTCTGTTAAGTTGAAGCTAGGATAAGTGGTTACATGGTTCTTAATCCTCAGTGATGCCTCCAGATCTTTATGTATGTAGAGTTCCTGGAGGAGCACTGATCTTTAATGGCTTACACAGCACTCTGCTTCTTTGCTGTTTATCCACCTATCTCTTAGATATTTACCAACATTCATTGATGACATTGTTCTCAAAATCATTTCCTGTACAATAACTCTTAATAGCAACTCAGAAGTCTTCAAAGTTCATATACATAAATCTTAATCTCTCAGTTCTTGTGACTCCTTAACTTCAGTGAACCTTACTTCAATTCCACTTACCAACCAACCTCATCACCACCTATAACTTGTCAATTCCCAAACTCTTGACCTCAAACATTCCATTCCAATGTCTGTGAAAAGGATTCCTTACAAACTCTCTGATAGGAACTACTTTCTTAAAATCAGACATTACCAAATTTCCTGTTTCACCACTATATATCATACCTTGCTCCCCAACAGTAATGCATGTATGTGCTTCTTTATCTTCTTTCTTATAACATGATCATGTAAATTATCTCTTACACTTCATAGGAAGCTCCTTCAGCACAATTTTTATATTAAATTGTTTTTGTCTTCCAACTACATCTCAAAGCATTTCAAAATATTGTTAAATGAACAGATAAGTGGATACATGTATGAGCACATGCATTAATGACTTAGAATTTAGGTGACAGCCCCATCCCCATCCGTGTACTATAAATAAATAACTCAGGTTGGGTAATTTATAAATAAGAGACTTTTCAATTATGAACTCTTGAAAGTTCAAGATCAAAGTGCTAGTAGATTTGGTGTCTAATAGGGACTTGTTCTTGGCTTCAAGTATGGAAACTTCTTGCTCCATCCTTACATGGCAGAACAACAAAAAAGCTCCATTAGGTCTCTTATATAAGGGCATTAACCCCATTCATAAGGGTTCTGCTCCTATTACCTAATCACTTTGCAGAGACCCAATTCTTAATACTATCACTTCGGTGGTTTGGAATCAACACATGAATTTTAGACAGACACAAATATTTAGATCATACTACGCCCTAAATAGGACAGCTTTATTTGGTTATTTATCCCATGAGGCCCAGAAAGCATTTATATAATTTATGGTATCACAGCTTGTTTTCCTAATTCACTATATCATGTCTTCTTTTAACTTGAAAGTTAAAAAGTAACTAAAATTCTGTGCCCTCACTGTTGGCATAAAAACTAAACATAAAAATTCTGATTAAAAATATAGAAACATGCCAACTTTTCAAATATTTGGGTACAATATTTTGATTCCTGCTAAGCTTTTGCTAATTCTTTAAGAGAAGAGCTATGCCTATAGAGACCAAATGAATGGAGTATATAGCAACTATCTTGGCAGTTAGATCAATTAATATGTACAACTTGATAATAATGCTGAGATTCTCTGCAGTAATACAGAATAAAGGACCAGTTATTTCAACAAGAATCTCAGTTTTAAATGTAATACTATGTTTTCCTGACCTTTATGTGCAAATATATCTTGGATGTTTTCTTCAAGTTATCAGTTGTGTACCTCATGAAATGGTGATCAGTGGAAAAGCAGTTGGTGGGGACATAGTAATAATTGATATCTGGTTTAAAAATATTTCTTTGGATATTGAAGTTCAAACATGATTTCAAAGTAAAAGAATTTAATCATTTTGTTTTTTTCTGTAGAATAAAGATGTTAAAATTTCTGCACACAGATTTTGATGCTTGAGTGTTACATCAACAGAAATTTAACGAAGAAGTTCATAGTGCCAGACCTGTCGTTCTTTTCTATTACAATAATCCTGGGTAGGTTGAGGTGAACCATTAGTATTTTTGCACATTGTTTTAAGAGAACTGTTCTAATAAAATTAAATTTAAAAATAAGACAATTAGTCTTAATATAATGACTTGAGATGTTATATTCCTTTTTACTTATGCAAGAGATTTCATGACATGGTTATGGAACTCTGAAATGGCAAGGCTTTTTCCCCCATTAGATTTTGTTTTCAAAAGGATCAAATGATACTCTTTCTTATTAGCTAGAACCTATTCAAAGAGGTAGGTGAAACAAACAGAAAGAATGAAGAAAGATGGAGAAAATGTGGTTAGTAATAACAAAAAGCTATGAAACTTAAGTACTGATGTAGTACAATTATTGCATAAAGGGACTATTGGATTTAAGTAATTATTTCAATTTGGTAATGGTTTGCCAGTCTATTGGGTATTCTCTGAATCAGCCCATTTTTATGCCAATAACTTTCTTCCTATTGACTTGAAGAGCAAAAGACTTTTAAAACTTTGACCCACTATCATTGGCTTTCCCTTTTCCCATCATGGTATTACAAACACTCAAAGTTTATTGTAATTATTGGCTACCTCTTAGTTAAATAATAAAAATAATGCAGGTGTTACTAAATTCCTGAAAGATTAATAACATGATAAAAAAGCGAAGCCCATCTTTTAAAATAGTCTTCAAATTTTGGTTTTAGATTAACCCCTGAAATGTCTAAGACCTTCTTTGTTCTATCTCTTCTTTCCCTACTCTATAATATGGTGTTTTTAAAATCTGATGTTAGGCTGAAATCACAAGCTATCCTCATGACCATGAGAGAAGTTTGCAACATAGTGTGGAAAGAACACTTTTGAGGGACCTAAAATGATTAATGATAGGCTTTCAACAGTAATTTCAAAGAAAAAAATTAATTAATTAACTAGTACACCACTCATCACAACAAAAGTTTCAATTACTTCCTGGTATTTAGCCTTCCATACTCTCTTTTTCTCTATATTAGACACACATGGTTTGAGATTTCTCACTTAATATCTTACATGGAGTGATTTAATTCTTTCTTCATTGCATGTGTATTTTATTTAATCTAATAAATGTGAATAATAATGATGAGAGATTCCTTAAGAAATTTATTATTCTCATTATATCTTTGATAACAGGAAAACAGTGCTATTAACTTATGACATTCAAGTTAACTTTTAAAAGGTCAAGAAACCCACTTATTGGTACACATTCATTCAGTTAGCACATATTAATTAGGTGCCTATTGAATGGCAGATGTAGTGCAACTTCCTAGAACGTTTCAGAAGCCCAGAGTTTGCTTGAGGATGAAATTGTCTAACACGAGTTTAGCTTCCAAAATATCTTCCCTTCTAGTGAAATAACCAAAACCCTGAATACTGTGCAGACTAAAATCTGAACAAGAATGAAATACATTAGGAAAAAAAGTAGTAGTGCACTTTAGGCTAGTTGAATAAAATTTATTAGAATGGAATAATGTATTTCTTTTACTTTTAAAGAATACAGACTCCGAAATATTTGGAAAACTATTTCATAAAGCAAATCAATGAGGTTGGCAAGCCAGAACTGAAAACTGCTCTGAGTGAACACAATTCTTACAGTTCCATGTGGCTCATAGCTGCATTCTAGAGTTTTTTAAGGTTAGAACGGCACTTAACATGCAAATTACCTATATGAGGTAGAATATGTGTATGCTTTATCAACCCAAGCACAAGAGTTGTGAAAGTAAAAGGGAGTGTTATAAATTACACTGAGACAGCTGAGAAACTGGGACTATCCAGACAAAGCCATAGGCGCACCAGCTACTTAAGATCAGGTAATTTAAGGCCATAGACCTCTTCCATTTATTTTGCCTTAAATAAAAATTCAGCAAAATTAAAACTTGAACTCAACTTAGATTATAAATAGAAATATTTTGATCTATTTATTTTATGTTTTCATATAAGCTCCTTTAAACTTATTACAAAGTTTATTTTTAGTTATTATTATTAATCATTTATGTAAAAAGAGACACACAGAAAGAAATAGGGAAATTATAGAAAAATGCCAAAACAGGACTATATGCTGTTGAAGTCAGTCTTATAGAGGAAAGCCTGTTTTCCTCAATACTGATATCACTTAATCCCCTAATATATTTTATTATACTTTCTTGATGTTGGCAGTCAGAGGGGCTTTTTGCCCAAAAGCTCCAATGTAACTTTTCTGCACTGACAATAAGCAGTTATTTGACACCTTGCCTGAGAACTGACTGAAGTTCTTTTTTCAGAAGGTGATATTACAACTACAATAGCTACTTAAAATTACAGCCCAAGTACTTTTCTCTAAAGTAGCTCTTATTGTGAGCTGCACTTTCAAGTACTCTTCAAAGGAACTCTGGGCATGTCTCAGGGGAGGCCATGCAATGCATCTCTGTGGTTCTCGCCACATGTGATCGCCTGGACAGCCTCCTTAGCACCATTTATTCCTTTTTTTTCCTGCTGTTTCTTAGTCCAGGCATACCAGAGCTGTGACCAGTGCACATGTCTATTTTAACAGTGTTATTAATGCAGGAGTTTTATTTTATGTTTTTTATGTTATTGTTTTAAAATTAGTACATATTTGCAGTATATTCAATTTACAATCATCTTGGGGACTGTGTACATGTACATAATACAGCTTGATTCTTTTTTTAATCCACTTCTGTCCTCTCTCCCTCCCTCCTCCTGTAATTCTCCTTTCCTCATTATCATACTTGTTAATATTATTAATTTAGCTCTTGTTTATGACATACAACGTTTACATTCATTAAGGTTATTAGATTCTTGTACATGCCATATCTTTATTCTACTTATTTCTCCTTTTTGAGAACCTTTTGAAGACCATTTTATTCATCATCAATCTCATTTAAATTTCCCTAAAATTAAAAACATTCTCTGATGAAGTAAATGATCCAAAAAGGAGTCAAAATAAAATAGCCTGTTTCTATTTCTTATAATTATCATAAATGTATTGGGTTGTTATGGTTTGGATAAGTGTTCCCCAGAAGTCCATGACTGAAGGCTTCACCTGCAGGGTGGCACTACTGAGAGGCAGTAGAACTTTTAGGAGGTGGAGCTTAGTGGGACATCCTTAGGTCATTGGAGGTGTAATCCTGAAGGGGATTGTGGGAAACTACTCTCTTCCAGCTCCAGTTTGAGATGTAACTGCTCTTTCTGACACACATTCCTGCCATTGCTACCTACCAGCTTCATAAGAGACCACATCAATACCCAACCTCAACCCCATCCCATACCCCATCTTGAATGCTGAACTTCCAAACTGTGAGCTAAATAATTTTTTTCTCTTATAAAATGAGTTGCCTCCAGAATTTTATTGTGATAATGTAATGCTAATACAGGCATTTATCCTAAAACATTATTTAAGAATACAATGGATAAACCACATCCATAAATATTCTATTCTTGTGTTTCTCAAAAAATTATTCCAAGAGAGGACAGGCTTTAAGATAGTACCTCAGGAGCTACTAAGAAAACAAACAGTGATGCTAAAGACAGTGACTCTAAATTAAAGCCACTGATGTTTACCTACCTTATTCTCTAGATTCTTCTTTTTATTTTTAAAGGACATTTTTTTTCACTAAATATTAGCACTGAGGCTATTTACTATTCTTTATAGTCTGCCCATGCCAAGAAGATGTCATCTCCCCTCCAATTACTCATATCCACTAATGCAAATCAAAACACACAGTTCCATTGTCCCCTTACTCCAGTGAAGGGGTGAGTTTTTTCATCAAAGGAAGAGAGTCCAAGATAAAGTTACTAATCAGTCACACTTTGGTATCTTTTATGGGCTGTGGGAGTTTACATCACTTCAAAAAAGAGGATTTTGGAATCAATGGGAAGAACAGGATGGGGCAAAGTGGTAAGAAGTCATTATTTTACCACTTTGTGATAGGGTAGACATAGGGAATGTATTAGAGAGAAGCTGTATAGTCAGCTTAAAGACATTATCTTCAAACTATTGCCTGAAGGTACAGTACTAAGCTCTGGAAAAGAGTCAAGAATGCAGAAAGAGACGTTGCTTAATTATTTTGCCCAATCTATGTCAGTGAGGGTATTGAAAATTCCAGTTCCTCTCACATTACATGTAATGAAGGCAGGCAAGAGTAAAAATATACTATAAGGCAGGCAGGTAGGAGCATCTGGAGAATCTTCAGGTATGCATTTAGTCTCTGTGTCTGGATGTGTGTAACTTTAATCCTCACATAAACTCTATGAAGTTGGTGCTACGATAATTTCCTCCACAGATAATGAGAGTGGTGCACAGAAAGAGTGCATGAATTTCTCCAAAATCAAAATTACCCAACCAGCAAGTAAATGAGTTGATATTTGAGCATGTGGAGCTGGTCTTGACATGTAAGCTCTTCAGCAGTATGAAATTCTATATGGGAGTGTTGGGGCTGGAGGTGGCGGGTGTGATGAGATACAGATGTTCACAAATTGTTAGCATTTTTATCTACCAGTTTCAACTTTGTATTTTATAAACTATAACTTGAAATGCTCCCTTGCTGAATCTAATAAAAATTTTAAATTATGTTAAATATTTTACTTTAAGTATTCAAAACTTTAAGTAAAAAGTACAGTACAAACCAAACAATATTGCATTTTATTTTCACTAGCTAGCTTTCAGCATGGACATGAACACTAGAGTTGCATTCGAGTATGGATTTGGCCTTCCTTCTGGGCTTCTTATATCATGTATCTTGCCATTACAGTAGTTCTGGGGAGCTAAATATTTGTGACTGTGTTTAGTTTAGAAAATCTGTTCTTCTTGTGCAATGACTTTGAAGTTATATGTTAAAGATTCGCAACATCTGGTTACTGTTTATAATTTTAGTCTTCCAAGATATACTTATGAGAAACATAATGAAGTAAATTGGGTGTTTACAAAGTTATTTTTACTAATAGCCATTCTGCCTGATATAAAATGACTATGTCTAAAAAATGTGTGGATTACAAAATATTTCAAATTCTATACTTGGAAATAATGTAAGAAATGTAGAAAACAAGTACCAAAGAGCAACAAATACTGTAACATGTTTATAACATGTATCATTCCAAAATGGGAATCTAAACAGAAAGGTTTTTTTCATTCTTGAATTTGGTATGAAGAATTTATTACTAATTACCACATAATAAAAATAATGAGCACATATTGAGCTGTTGCTAAGTACTGGGCATTGATTAAGGTATAATAATTAATTTAATCCTTATAAGGTAGTTATTCTTATTGTCATATTTGAGAAGAGACAGACAAAGAGAAGCTAAGCATTTGCACAAAGCAGATAACTGGTAAACTTTAGAGGGGATTAGAACACCGGTAGCGTGCTCCCCTGAATCCCATGTGTACCTATTTTGCTACATTGCTTCACTAAGAAATGGCTCCAGGGGTTTTATTAGACAGCTCACACCTATCATATAGCTTATTCAACAAAAGCTTTGAAGACTATATTCTTATGTGAATCAAAAATTATGAGTCCTCATAGTGAATATTATCATTTACAGCTGCTTTCCACATGTACTCCATGAGGACATCATTTCACGCGTTGTTTTTAAAAGGTTAGATGCAACTTTTTGTTTTTTGGAGGACACTTGTATTTTCATCTCTCATTTTCTTCAACAGAATAGGTAATCTAGCTAATCAGTCAGACAGATGGCTGATGGGGGAACATGTGACTGTACAGACATCTCATACATAATTCATATGATACAAATTATAGCTTTATAACATGTAAAATTATAGTTACTTTTTCAAGGTTAAATAAGTGGAATTGACTTTTTTTTTTTTACTATTTTCCTGTTCTGTGGTTAGATTTAATATTCATTTCAATCTGATTTCACACAAATAAAAGTGCTGGAAGTTGGCACCAAACTACTTAATTTGTTCAGTTCCTGAAAACTCTTAGCGAGGGGGAGGCTTTTAAACAGCTTCTTATAAAAGTTGATCAATGATTTCTAAAACTTAATAGTTTTTAAACATCAATATCTAGGCCTGTGTGATTCTCCCAGAATTTCATATGAAATCTTAGTCTTGGTGTGGAGATTTTTCTTGTTTTGTGTATGGAGAGTTATATAATGATCCTAAAATAAAGTAAAACTAATATAATCCCTGAGATATTATAACTTTAAAGATAAAAAGGACCTGTTATTTTATGCTTGGTTTAACTATAGCTATTGAATACACCATTAAAAGATACAAAGATTCTCTTTAGTCAATATTTAGGTCACATGATGGCCTGGGGTCAGTAGCTCTAGAAAATGCCACAGTATAGTTTGTTTGAAGAGCCCAGGCTTTAATAACACTGAAGGAAAAGCAGCGCCCCTTAAGTGCTGCATAATGGCCAATTTCATTATTACATCCATGGGCATCATTGCTAACTACTGACTTGAAAAAATATTAAAATTCTTAGTCACTTTACTGCAAAAACATGAAAAAGAAATTTTGAATACCTTAGTATGTTATAATTATATTAACCCATAATTTTACTCCTCAATAGAAAAAAGTAGCTGAGTTAAAATATGTACTAATTTTCCATATCCTGATGAATTTCACTTAGAAGGAAACATTGAATATAGTGGTATGGTTCTCAAAAATAAATTAGATTCTATGTGTATCTCATGTATTTTACTTCAGTAGTAGCAATTACCAATATCGATCTAATGCTTCCTATTTGTTCCCATCATCATCATCTGAATACATATTCACAGAGTGCGTGCAATTACTGCATGAGGTAGGGCGGTAATACCTTTAATATAGCTAAAGTAAGTCACAGAAAGGTTAATGACATTACCCATGGTCTCATACAGATAAGTAGAAACAGTTTGACTTGAATCTAGATCAGTCATATAACTTATCCATGCTCTTAAACATCACAAATACCACATTATATTTCTCCTCTCACAAATAGGAACATTCAAAATTAGTCCAAAATACTAATAAAAATTCCTACTGCATTCAAATAAGCTTCTTCTTAGAGAGGTATCAAATTCATCCTCACTAGTTGGCTAAAAAGAAGTCAGAGAATGGCAAGTCACTGGCTACCTATCAGAATGAAGTGTTGAGTGACCATTTTTCTAAGCTAGCACCACAAGGGTCAAGAGGATAACATAGTGGTCTGGCTCATGCAGAGTTCTGTACCTGATGTGGTACATGCTACAAAGGACAAGTAACTGGAGTGGTGTTCACTTTGTAAGCCTTCATTAAGAGCTTTTGTTTTTACAAGTTTATCATCAAATTATATAACACTAGCTTGAAAACCTTCCTACTCAGAAAAGACATACATCAATGTTATTATAAGATTCCAAGGATTTGTGTACACATTCATCAAAATACCACATGGGGCCCCATATATATGTACATGTTTTCATATGTCAATTTAAATAAGTAAATAATAAATAATATTCAACAGGAAGGTATTGAGGGAGAGTCATAACAAAGTACAGCAACTGTCAAAAAAAAAGCAATTGTCAAGGTCATACATGTGCATAAACATCTCTCATTAAATTTACAGAAAACTTAAAAATTTATCATACAGATAAATTATATTGATCTTGTAGATGATAAAAAGTCTTATTAGGCTAAGAATCCATTTTCCTTACTTTTGAATTTTTAAATGTGGCATAGTGAGGTGATTCTCATGTCAAAGTCTATAGACTGATTAAAGACAGGCAGCATCTTTTTAAAGAAATGTGCAACAAACTTACAAGCAAAGTTAAAAGGGGAAATGTTAAAAGCTATGCTAGACTGTTCTGTTCCATCTGCAACTAAATAGTGGTTCTCAGGCTTAATTAAATAAAGACCAATGTAAATTCTTCAAAAAAAACTTCCTGGTAATAGCATTAAGTCAAAAAGAGCTGAACATCCTTCCTCTCTAACACATATTCCAAAAATACCAACAAAAATGGGAATTTCATCAAGAAAAAAAACCGTATTGTATATCTTAGAACCAGATGTACCTCAAGAAATATAATATATCCAGTTCTTTAACAAAATAAACTTTGTAGACAACCAATAAATTAGATGTTAGTACTGCTCTATGTATCAAATAAGGCTAAGCAAAAATATTTAAATTTATAAAGCAGTATTCTTTGAATTTCTTCTGCTATATCACTGAGAGAAATTTAATTGAATTTTTTAATAGAGAAAATCATAGACTCACATGAAGTTAGGAGAAATAATACAGAGAAATCTTGTGTACAGTTTACACAACTTCCTTCTATAGTAGCACTGGGTTCAATTATAATAAAATATCACAGAGTATTAACATTACTATTCACAGTATTATTCAGCTTTCCAATTATACCTGTGGAATATGAATATATACATATATATATATATATATATATATTGCACATGTTTGTGGTGCTGGGGGTGGAACAGTGTCTTACATATGTAGAGCAAGTGCTCTACCACTGAGCAACATCCTCAGCCCCAGTGTGTGTCTATTACTATACAATTTTATCAAATGTGTAGGCTCTTTTGTGTACTATCTAATTCAGACACTGAAGAGTTCACCATTATAAAAAAACCCTCTAACCAACATTCTATAACCACATTCATCTTCCTCCCATCTCCAAGCCTTCCATTTTCTCTTACCCCTGGCATCTATTCATCTGCCCTCCATTTCTAATTTTCTGTCATTCAAAATCTTCTGTAAGTGAAATTAAGGAATGTAACCACGATTAAGGTTTGTTTGTTTTGACATGGTGTCTCACTATGTAGTACAGACTGGCCTCGAACTCACAATCTAAGCCTCCCAAGTAATGGAATCACAGGCATATACCACTATGCCCAGGCTGACTGGCTTTTTTGCAGTCAACAAACTTCCCTGGAAATTGATCCAACTGGTGTACATTAATAAGCCCTTTCTTTTTCTTACTGAGAAATATGAGGCATGATCAAAGATATGCTGAATATTTTATTACAGTCAAAGATACATTGCTATTAATCATCTCAAAATATTTCCTCTTGGTTGGAACACACTTCTCTTATTGTTCTTATATTCTCAAAAAGTTCTGGAAGTCCTCTTTCATGAGTATTTTCGTGGCTGTCTCGAAAAACGTATAAGGAAATTTCTGTTAAATAGAAACATTAGAGTGTGTCCTCATCCACCTGTTCACTGAATCTGGCACCATGTGACTTCTAGCTCTTCCCTAAAGTTAAAATGACCCTGAAAGGTCAACATTTTGAATCAATTCAGCATATGAAGGCAACCAGGACAGCACAGCTAAATGCATTCATGAAAGAGAACTTCAAGAACCATTTCAGACAGTGGCAAGAATGGTGGGATAAGTGAGTTCAAAGGAAGTGGGCATATATTGAGGGAGATTAATGGCAATATTTCTTTATTAAAATAATTTTTAAACATTCACCATATTGCTTATCACACCTTCATATTTCATGATACATATACTATATACAACAGTATATTTTATCACCCATCCATTTGTGTACATTTAGGGTAATTTCAAATTGAGGTTATTACAAATAAAGTTATTATGAATATTAAGATACAGATATTTACATGAACATGAATGATAAATGTTCAAGAGAGTAATTACTGGGTTGTATTGTAATTGTACATTTACTTGTTTTTAAAAAGTGCCAAACTCTTTTCTAAAGGGTCTGCGTAATTTTATGTTCACACAAGCAATGAATGCTGACTCAGTGAGTCACCTAGTTTCTGTACATCCTTAACAGCATTTAGCGTTGTCACTATTTTTCATTTTTACCTTTCTCAAGAATATGCAGTGCTAATTCATTGTGATTTTAATTTGCATTTCTCTGTTGGCTGAAGATGATGACTACCATCCGTATGGAGTTCATCTTTTCATAAGGTTCATATTCTTTTGTTTTCTTGTTTTACTTTGTTTTGTTTTGCTTATGGATGTTAAGCTGCTCCTGCACCATTTGTTGAAGTGGCTATCCATTCACCAATAAATTATTTTTATACCCTCATCAAAAATTGGTTGAGCATATCTATGTAGGTACATTTCCAGGATGTTTATTCCATCCCACTGATCATTGTGTCCCTCTGTATCAATACCACACTCTTCTTATCCATGTATCAGTACTGTAAATCCTACTATTAGGCAGAATAATTCATTCTAATTTATTTTTCTTTGCACAATTATTTTAGTTATCCTGGGGCCTGTGGCTTCTAGTGTTCAAGTTTTAGCATGAGCTTGTCTATGTCCACAAAAATATCTCGATAGCATTTTGATAAAAATTTCATTAAACCCATAAATCAATTGGGAAAAATTGATCTTATGATGAGGCCTCTAATCTATGAACACATTATGTCTTTTCATTTACTTAAGTCTTCTTTGATTTCACTCACCAAGATTTTATTAATTTCTAGCCTACAAATGCTTACTATGCTTTGTGAAGTTTACACCTAAGTGTTTCATTGCATTGAAGTGATAGTAATTGGTATTGTATTTTTTATTTTTGTTTTCAAATACCTGATTTTAGAATATAGAAATGCAATTATTTTATGTACAAAATAATTGATAGTGTATACTGTTACCTTGTTGAACTCACTTGTTAGTTTGAGGAGTCTGGGTAGATTACTTGGGATATTTCTATGTAGATTATCATGTAATGTTTCAATAGAGATGATTTAATTTCTTCCAATCTAATCTGAATTATTTTATTTCCTTGCCTTGCTTTATTGTAATAGCTAAAACTTGTAATACTATGTTGAATGATGAAAGCGTACATTTTTGCTTTGTTTCCTACCTCACGGTTAAACCATTTCATTTTCCTCACCATTACATATTATTTTAGCTGTAGCTCTTTAAAAAGTTGACATAACGCTGAAAATTTTTGTTGGATTTTTTCAAATAATTTTTCTGTGCCATTTGATATGATTTTTTCATATTTTATTTGTTTACATAGTAGGTTATACTGATTAATTTTGACTATTGAACAAGCCTTACATACTTGAGGGAAAACCCCACTTGGCCATGGTACATAATTCTTTCTATAAATTATTTAATTATTTCCACTAATATTTTGTTAGGAATTTTATGTCTGAATTTATGAGAGGGATTGGACTATAGTTTTCTTTATTTGTAGTATCTTTGTTTTGTTTTGGTGTCAGGGTGATACTGGCCTCAAAAAATGAATTGGGAAGTGTCTTTACCTCATTCGTTTCCTGATAAACATTGTACAGGATCGCTGTTAGTTTTTCCTTAAATGTTTATTATGATTTTCTAGTAAAACTGTTTAGATTTGGAAATGTCCCTTTCAAGAGCTTCTAATTATGAGTTCCATTTCGTTAACAACTATACATTAGTCAAATTGTTTGTATCATCCTGGTTGAGTTTTGGTAGCACAGGACTTTCAAGAAATTGGGGGACAAGGCTCTCCTTAGGACCTCTTGTAAAATCCTTTCATGAAATCTAATCCTATTATGAAATCTCTGCCTTCATGACTTAATCACCACCCAAAGTCCTCACCTCCTTAATACCATTCATGACCTTGGTTAGGAGTTATGATTTCATATATAAATTTGAGGAGACAAAAATATTCACAGCATAACAATGATAAAGTGGCAGAATTAACATGGCTCTTGTGATAATTCATGCTTGGCTTACACAAGAGTATCCAGAAGCAGAGCCTAGGACAGGGACTCGGGTACTCATGTACCTTGGAGGGATACCCAAGGGGAAAAGCAATGGGAGGATGAGGACTGGTCAGAGGTCAGAGGATGAAACAAGGCAAGGATGTGAGCTCACCTATCACCTTTCAATGTCATCCCCAGGGAGACTACAAGGCACTCTGAACATGCACAGCACCACAGAATGGTTCCATCTTGAGGAAAGTGTGCATCATTTGTATCTCTGCAACAACACAGTCCTAAGGAGAAGAGCAGCAGTCAGCCATAGGCAGCCAAGACTCACAGCACCAGAAGGATGGGTGAACTGATTTGTGAAAGAGATATGGACAAGTGCCAAGAGCGCCCACTCAACTATCTGGATAAAAACAGTAGGTGAAAATGAACTTGTAGCATAATTTCCTATTATAATCCAGACAGCTATTTTTTGGCTTAAATTCTTTTATTGGTACATTTTAGGTAGACAATATGTTTACATTTATCATTGGGTACTTGTACCTGTACATGATGTATCTTGGTTCTCATTTTTTCCCCATTCCCTGTCTTCCCTTCACCCCCTCCACCTTTCCCTATTTACAAACACTTTATTTCCATTTTTTCCTTTTCTCATAATTTTTCCTTTTCCTTCTTACCTTTCCCCTTCCCCTCCAACTTCCCCTACCCCTTTGAATCTTTTCTTCTTATTTCAAATTATCAATTATTCATTTTAACCATTTTAATCCTTATTTACACTTTCAGTTTCTCACTGAAGATGAAAACAACACTGAGATTCCACTTCACCCCAGAAAGAATGGCTGCTATCAAGAAATCAATCAATAAGAAATGCTGGTGGGGGTGTGGGGAGAAAGGAACCCTTCTCCGTTGTTGGTGGGAATGCAGACTCGTGCAACCACTGTGGAAATCAGTATGGAGATACCTCAATGAACTAAAACTAGAGATCCCATTTGACCCAGCTATTCCCCTGCTGGGTATCTTCCCAAAAGAATTAAAAGAATCATACCACAGTGATATATGGGTACCCATGTTCATAGCAGCACAATTTGCAATAGCTAAAGCTTGGAAAAGCCCAAGTGCCCATCAACTGGAAACTGGATAAAGAAGATGTGGGTTTTTTTATAAAATAGAGTACTACTCAGCCATAAAGAATGAGAAACCAGAGACATTTATAGCTAAATGGATGCATACTGAGGCCATACACTTAAGTGAAATAAATAGGACATACATGTGTAAATACCAAATAGTTTTTCTGGTGTGAGAAACAGACAGGTATTTTTAAAAGCATAAAAACAAAGAGAAAGAAAGAAGAAATTCTGTCTGTGGCAGGTGGAGAAGGCTTCCCATGTAACTTATGGAACCCAGAACAAAATGAAAATGGGGAGCACATTGTTGAGAATAATTAAGAAGTTCAAGATGAGACAGAGTATGAACTCAAGCAGGGGGCCTTCCTAAGTGTGGGACTCTGTGTAGCTGCCCAGTCTCTTCTGTGAATTAACACTGATGGTAAGTGGTCTGCAAACAAGGAGAAACCAACAGGATTTTGAAGGAGATGAATTATAACCTATAATCTTTATTTTTACAAATATCTGTCATAAAGGCAGAGGATGGTCAAGGGATCTGTGTTGTGATAAATCTGTGATTTTTCAAGGCAGTTTATACATCTCAACCATCACCTTTAGGAGGAAAACTCTTCAATCTTCAAAATGCACGGCCATTTTCTGTTGCTGACTAGTTAACAGTAACACCTCTAATAGTCAACTATATATTAATAAATAATGATATATCCCTAATGAATAATATTCTTTAAATTCCATATGATCTGATAAATTGTTGCTAATTACTATAACCAAGTTTATAAGAGCACAATATAGAGTTCCAATATTCACACTTAGAGGTCAAGATTCAAGACTTGGATAAGGAAAACTACTAGGAATGATATGACAGTATGTTCTTGACTACACAACACATTCACACATGAAGATATTGAAAGATTTTGGTGTTTATTCAGCTTCAACTTTAGGTTAATACTTAAAAGCAAACACATCTTAAAACATTTCCTTTGTATGTAGAGTAAAACTGTCAATAAATACATTCAATTCCACTCTGTCTACTCAAACTTATTATAAATTACTTCCACATAATTTAGAGATTTAACAATATATTTTAGCATGCTATAAGGTAATAAAAGCTATAATGCCGTGCTGCTATTTTTATAAGGTGTTTAAAACTAAAATTAAATAATTTCTAATATTTAAACTGTATTTCAAATTCTGTATTTAATTGACACCAGCCATACTTAGGCATCTATGTTCAACTATACTACATCCTTTGGCTTATCATCTTCTCTCATCTTCTTTATTAGTCACTAAAACTGCAGAAACATCTAGGGCCAGGAAGTTATCTTCAGGATTTAGATACAGGAAAGGCGAAACTTCTAGAGCTGACCTTGAGCTCCAGACATCTGTGATTCTGAGTCTAAAGAGCCTCTGAACCATGTCCCTTATTGCTCCATTGGCACCCTGTGTTTTGGCTTGTGCTGGTGTCTGGAGAGCTCTGTTCCAGAATAAACCTATAAACATTGAGGGAGGAGGCAATTCACTGTGAACTTGGGAATTACTCAGTGTTGGGTCTCAAAGACTGGAAACCTCTGGCATTCCTACATGAAGATAACAGAATCTATACATTATCTACTAATTCCTAGGGACAGCAGATGGGAACTGCATTATTCACAGTGCCTTTGCAGATATGAGGGAGAGTGTCTCGATTCTTCTCTTATATAGACCTCAGGTGCCTGTGAGGTCCGGGAAATACCATTTCTAGATTTCCTGTAGAAATTATGCTATCCATTAGAGCCTCACAAAATGCTGCCATATGTCAGCTAAGTGACCCCTGGAATGTAGCTAAGTAAGCAATTATCAGCTCTCTGGTGACTGTAGCTGTTTAAGGAGTCAAGTATATGTATTAGCTAAAATTTTCAATATATTGAGAGAAGAAATGTGTGAAGCAGGTATGAGACTCCAATCACAAATTCAGCTATGCGAGGAGATAACCCTTTATTTTTCTATAATAATTTAATAATTAAATCATGTAACTTCTAAACCCAGACTCCTTTTACTGTTGCTCAGGACCAATTCTAAGTGCCAAGGGTCTCATGCATGTTAAGGCACATGATTTGCCGGGCCCCTGAGTGTCAACTGTCCATGCTTGCAGCCTATGGATCATCCAGCCGGGTCCTTGGGAATTCAGTCTTCTGAGGCACAGTTCTATCAAATCTAGTTCTCAACTGTAAGATTCTGGGCACTGACTTTCTCTGAAAATATCATGACTTCTTGGAGTACTTGAGGAATTATTCAGTCAATACAGAACATGCTGGGCCATGTGGAACTATATAAGCCAGCCTTAGGAATGTCTGCTTACACACTTTTACAGGCTTTTATAGCCATTCATACTATGGGTCCTGGGCCTTTCCATGAGGGTAAGCTTTAGGCCTTCTCTGCTCCAGAGTCTCAAACCCTTATTTGGGATTTCTATTGCTCCTCACCTGGGCTTCAATAAGTGGAGAGAGGAGTCAGGGTGTACAACTCCTTTTCAAAGACTCTGCAGACTGAATCAAATCTTTCAACCCTTCTTTGACTCTCTTTCTTAACATACTCACCCTATACCCTCTCAAATGAAAATACTGTCCTGTTTTCTTTCCTTTTTCCTCACAATTTTCCTGAACCTGCCCTTCAGGAAAGCAGTAAAAAAGATTCCCTGAGTATATTGAGTACTGAAAGGGCTCTAGGCTACAAAACAAATTGGAAAGGAAAGTGGATTATATTTTAAAGTATTACTGACAATAAATGTTTTCATGTAATGTTTATGGGCTTGTCTGTCAACATTATATGAACACAATTATTTACACACATTTAAAAAAAGAATTGTTGAGCCTGAAATTACCCCTTATATTGATAGACCTGCATATTAATATTTTAAAAACAATTTCTCTTGTATTACTTTTTATATGTATGATAATTTTATGTGTGATCATTTTATATGTGATAATTTATTAAAAGCTTAAATACTGAATAATATGTATGGTACTCACAAGGCATGACTGACATTTGGATTCTAAATCATGGAGCTACAATAGTTTTATTTCTGTGATGATCTATTTGGAGATATTATGAGATTTAATTAGCCAAAAGTATGAAGCAATGAACTGTGATACAATGATATTTTGTTATACATGGTTTCAGATAAAATGAAAATTAATTTGTACTTTGGAAACTTAGCCATAATGATAGTACTTGTTTTTCATCATACACCTAAATTTTACATTAAGCTACTTGGTATTTGAGAAAGTATAAGAATTTAGATTCATCCACAGCAACATTCTTGAATTCTTTCCTCCAAAGAAAAGCAAGGTATGTGGGCCAGGGATTTAGCTCAGTGGTTTCGCAGCCTGCTGTGCAAGTGCAAGGACCTGAGTTCAATCCCCGGTACCAAAAAAAAAAAAAAAAAAAGCAAGGTATGAGAATACAGATCATGATACTAGTAAAGATCACTGAATAAACTGAACTTGCATTTTATCTAGGATTTCAATATGATAATGGCAATTAACACTTATCTGAAATAGAGATTATAGTTTGAGAATACTATTGGAAACATGTATTTAGTAACTAATAATAATGAAGTTGTAAAGATGGCCAAAAATATTCTAATATTTAATTGAAAGTGACCTAGGATACTGTCACAAAAGAGGAGGGTATGCACTATCCATTTACAAACAACTCTAAAAGTATCAGACAAATCTTAGGTCTTCAGAAAGATAATCCTCAAGAAAGTATTGGATGAATGACAAATATTGTTATTTCCCTGGTGCTGGAAGAATCCAAATAGAGAATATATGTGGTTTCCATTTATTCAATAAATATTAATTTAGATATCTTTTATTATGTAGGTTTTAAATGTACAATGGTAAACACTTGATCTTTGCCTTCAAAGAAGACACAAATAAAACTAGGCAGGAAGGTAAAGTGAAAAATATGGGTTAGTATAAAAGGCAATGAGTGTATAAATGGCAGTTAATTCACTCTTCTTGTGGTGAAAGAAGAGGAGAGGAAACCTTCTTTAACAAAGTATGGAATTAAAGTAAAACGTGGAGAATGAATGTTAAGGGGACGATGGAAAATATCTGCATTTTGTTTCATTCATTCAATGCATACTCCCATAACCCAGACAGTCTTCTAAGCATTTGTAAATCAATAGGGGAAAAAACTGGATGAAAACACTCACTCTGGAGAAAATTACATTCAATATGGAGATAGAGAGTAAGTATATAAAAAGCCATAAGGCAACAATGCTCCATAGAGAGAGTAGTAGTCAAAGTTACCCTCACTAAGAAAGTGATATCCGAGGAAAGATGAAGAGACAAGGGTAAGAACCATGAGGAGGAGTGTCTAGTGGAAGAAGAGTGTTCCGGGCAGCTGGAATATAGCAAGAGCAAAATCCTTGAGGCGAGAACTTGCCTGGCATGTTTAAGGTCATGCAGCTGCAATGAAGTAGTAGGCAGACTAGTAAAATCAGAAGGTTAGAAAGGTCATAAGGAGCTATTTCGGGAAAAGGGGGAATGGGGTCTGCAAATGAGTGTAAAGGTGAGAGAGCATGGAATCTAAGTTGGATAACTGGGAAAACAAGAGTGCAATGTGAGAAAATGAATAGGAAGTGAAAATCATAAAACAACATAAACGTAAGTGGGTCCTTATGAATTTGGAGGATCTTGGGAGCTAATATCTGAAGGAAGCAAGAGGAGATAAGAGGTAGTTACAGA